TAAGACTATAAGTTAAAAAAAATCTTTTTACTATTAATTTATATAAAAAATTATAAGAATAAACTTTATTTTTAATACTAATATCACGTAAAACATTTTAATTGAATGGTCGATAAAACTAAAGTCAACTTTTATTTTTCTTATACAAATTAAGGACTTAGGTTTAGAAAATCTATTTATTTAAATATAATAAAAAAATTGTGTAATACTAAAATATATTTATTTATGAAAATTTGGATAATTTATTTGAGAGAATAAGTTTTTTAGGAGGATTGCAATTAAATAACATTAATTTGAAGTATGAAAGTATAAAAATATTATTAATAAATCTTAAAAAAACTTGAATTCATTAGGGTTGTGTTTGAGAACATGTATTTGTATTTAGAATGTGTATTTTAAAATACATTGTTTGGATTGAACAAAAAAATGATTTTCAAATACATGTATTTTTAAAATACATTGTTTGGACACTCTAAAATACTATGAATTTAAAATTGAATTTTTTTTATTAAATTAAATGTTCTTCTAATATTTTTAAATTTAATAAGATCAAAGTTTATAATTTTAGTCTTTCACCGCATCCAATAAGACATAACATGACCTCCACTAATCAATTTATCTTCGTGTTCTTCATTTTCTGTTCATTTTTTCTATTATCATATAATATTCAATTTTTGCAAAGATGGATTTATCATGGAATTGTCTACTGAAAGATATAACCAATAACCAATAACCTACCTTTAAATAGAGAGACAATGCTGAGGGCTAACACCATAGTTATACATCTTGGTAGAATTGAAATGGTAAGAGATGGTTCTAACCCAACAAGGCGTCCAGCAAGAGCAGTTGAATACAATGAGAATAAAGTTGAGATAATGATAGAAGTGAAAATCTCAGTTGCATGCCTCTTAACAAGCTGTAAAGGCAAGAGGAAAAAAGGACAATATATAAAGCAGCAATTGAAGTGTATCATCAATGCTTCATCAGATAAATCTTGTGCTTAAACAGTTAAGCCTTGTAGTAAAGATGAACAATTAGAGCAAAGCATCAAACAAGAACAAGCAAGAAGTTGTGGGGTTAAGTTGATAGACCTATGTTCATGAGCAGAGGCAATCATAAATCTTTTGAAGTTTACTAGAATAATATAATATATAATGTTTTCTATAGTATCCAGACTTTCTTTTTCTCTACGACAATTCAAATCTGAAATCTCAAACCCTTACTACCTTCTTATGCAATACAGAAATACCTAAAATCCTTGTAATCTAAATGATTCATAGACCAATCACTTATTCATCTTATTGTGTTGAATATGGAGTATGGGTTATTTACCTTTCTCTGTTTGAACATTGAGAAAGCAAAAGCGAGTATGACAAAATCCCAAAAATCCCACGAGAACATCACCAGCTCTAGGATCTGATGACACCTTTGTAAGGTAGCATCCTGTGTCCATAGAGAATAAAGTTTTCTTTATTTTATTTACTATATAAACGCCCCTCAATATTTTGGCCAAAAGCTTGCTCACATTCATCCTTCATAGCAGGACAATAAGAACCTCCACCACTCAACCCAACACTGTGCTTCTCCTTTCTCAAGGCTGAGTCCCCAAAGACAACATGAATTCTAACAAAGATTGTACGCATCGTCCTTGCCACTACAACCTTATCAAAAGTCTGGCTCCAAAGCGAAATTTCCTTCAAATGCCTCACATCCTGCTTCGGCCAAACCAATTTCTGTTCAAAAGCCCTATGGCACTCCTCATGCTGATT